ACCCACCTAGGCGGGAAGCCGGGGGAAGGTCACCGGGGCTAAGGCTCTGCCTCAGTAATCCCTGGACCAGAGAAAGAGCATGTGTGGTCCTGACCGCTCCCCTTTCTAGAGGCAGCAGTGAGAATGGATAAAACCCTCCAACTCCTAATAATGTCAGCAAGAATTTCTCAGTGTTTTCAGTGAACTAAGTCCCGAGCTTTGTTGATCCTCCCTCACACCAACGCTTTCACATGGGAACTACTCACCTCCCTCACCGCTAGTGAGGGGTGGGACGCAGGATGGCTGGATCTACCCAGCTCCAGGCTAAGGAATGCAGCTCAAAGTGTGGACCTCTGCTGAGTTCTGGAGTTGCCGGAGCTCTGGCCGCCCCTCCCCGCTGCCACCCCAGGCAAGCAACGAGGTTGGGAGAGCAGGGGCCAGGAGCCACGAGGCTGTCAGTACCAGAGAAGTGTCATTTTCCACTTGGTGTAACAGAGAAGAATGGCTCATCCTGGTCATAGTTTTTTGGGTTTGTTTTTCAATAAGCGGCCGAGAGCAGAGCCTGGCCCGGGAAGCAGAACTGTACACTAACTCACGCCCTTCTCCTTCTCGCTTACCTTGGACGAGTCATTTGTCCTTCTCAGCTTTGCCCCATCCATAAAAAAGAAGAGGCTGGGAGGACTCAGCCAAGTCTTTTGTTCAAATGACATCCTACCTCAAAACCTGATATATAAAACTGGTTGAAACGAGGGGCAGAGCCCCCCATTTGCCCTCTCTGCCCCTCACACTCAAGTGGTTGAGGCTTCTTGGGACTCCCAGGTTGACACAGAGCCTGGTTTGGAAAGGGTGGCTCTCATCTTCAGGGGACAGAGCCCCAGCTGGGCCAAGAGATGGCTCAAGCGAATGCCGCAGGCCCAGGATGGTGGGGAGGGCCACGCTGAAGAAAGTATGGGATAATGGCCAGAAGAACCCCGAAACTTGGAGGAGGTGACCAGCAGGCACTTTGAATAACTTAGGAAACCAGTAAGTAGGATGGAATCTGCGTAGAGATGCAAGATGACTGTTTTAGTGGACCACTGTATGGGGTGTGGGGAGCACATGACTACAGAAGACAAGCTGAGAGAGGACTAGGTCAGCCAGGGGGGCTGCACCTGCAAGAAGGCCCAAAGGGATGGTCAGTCAGGAGGCTAGAGAGAGGGCTATTGGAAGCATGAGTGGGTCTGTCCATAGGCTTCTGGAGGCCCCTTGATGCAGACTGGTCCATGAGAGGCAGTGACACAGGGAGATCTGACCCTGACCCCAGACAACCTCTGAGAGGGCAGATAGTGCCCTCCATGGGGATTAGCCACCAGCTCAACATTCAGGGTGCAGGAAAGTTCTTGTCCTTAGCTCCCACTTTGGTCCTCTGCCTCATAAACTGCGTTGGCATGATCCAGCCCTGCTAGACCCTGGACCAGCTGGAGTTTCTGGGCTTGAGAAGTTGAGGATCAAGCCTTGGCCAACTCCACCGTTTCCAGTGAGCCAGCCCACCTGCCCCCAAAATCTCTCTAGCTATTTAACAGCATGTCCATGGGGTAGGTAGGAAAAACACAATGCTGGAGTCATCTGACCGGGCATCAAATCCTACCTCTGCTTACTATCTCTGCCACTTGAGGAATTTCTCTCTAAGCCTCTTTCTTCACTTGGGAAGATTATAATTCCTTTAAAGTCAGTAATGCACACACTTGTGAAATATACAGTAGGAGTTTCCCACCGTTGTCCCCCAGGCCTCCAATTCTCCTCCCTAAGGCAACCACTGTTCCCAGTTTCTTCTAAGTTCTTCTAGAAATGTTCTATGCAAACGTAAGTAAATTTGTGAACACACATGCACGCGCGCGCACGCGCGCACACACACACACACAGTTTGGTGTTTTGGTTTTGGCTTTTCACATAGTAGCATATGACATAGTGTTCCTCACCTTGCTTTCTAAGCTTGGAGATCGTTCCATATCGGTGCATGCAGATCTGCCTTACTCTTTTAAACAGCTGTGTGTTCCATTCATAGTTGCATCGTTACCTTCTTGATGGGCTATGGGCTGTTTCTAATCTATTCCGTTTAGAGGCAATGCCGCAGTGACTAGCCTTGTAAGAGTGTTTCTGTCAGAGAAATACTTGGAATTGCTGCATCAAAGATAAGGTGAATTATTTTTAATACAACCAAATTGCCCTCCAAAGAGATTGTTCCTGCAATTTACTTTCCCACCAAAAATGTGTGAGCATGCCTGTTTACCCAACACGCCAAGGAACTTTTTTTAAAAAAATCTTTGCCAATCTGAAGGTAAGAAAACATTCTCAGTTTTAGTATGCATTTCGAGTTTGAAAATCTTCACGTTTAAAGGTGGTATTTTCTTTTCTGTGAGCCATATGCTCATGTTCTACCCACTGTCTGTTGTTATTCTTTTATTGATTTATTGGAGCCCTTCTCGTGTGTTGTATTTCCCCGTTTGTCCTTTGCCTTTTGACTTCAAATGTTTCCTTCTTAATTTTTATGGTCTAATTTGTTACATTTAAAACTTCCACCTGGAATTTATGTTGGTATAGAGTTAACGGAGGATACTTTAAAATTTTTCCAGATGGTTACTCAGGTGCCCGAACACCACCGTGTCCTGAGTTGGGACGGAGACCAGCAATCTGTACTCTGAAGCTCCCCAAGTGATTTGCATACATAGCCTGCCTGGTTTGGACAGCACTGCCTTTGCCTCTGACCACCCCTCATCTGACTCCCTTGGCGCCTCTGGACCCTTCCCCCCCACTGCCCCCACCATGGGGGTTCTGTGTAGACAGACCCCCAGCTCTTCCAGAAGGAAAAACCCACCTGCTCCCTGGACAAGGCATTTGTGGAAGCAGGGCTGCATTCACTTCAAATCATACGTCTAAAAACATCCGGTATCTGTGCACGACCAGACAGCAGTAACTTTAATGACGTGGAAACATGGAACCAAGCACTCCAAGCTAGAATTTTAAGAGGTTCCTAGACAGTACTTGGCAAGAGTATATCCCCAGACACTGCCTGGCTGTCCTCTTTTCTCTTAAGCAAAATTCACTTGCTGGATCCCAAATGCAAAAGGAATGCCAGCTAAACCTATGAGAATCTGTTTACCTTTATTTCTGAGTTCTCAATTCTGTCCCATCTGTCTACCTTGTCCCAGGGAAGGCCACTCAGCCCAAGCCAGGCCACGTCATCACAGACCCAAGCCAAGCCTTGGCAGGACCTGGCACTTGTGACTGTGCCAAGCTGTGGTCAGGAGGGAAGTTTCTGAAGCTGTAGTGTGTGTCGCGTGGGATTACCTGGGGCTATTTCTCTTCCCAGTGGCACTGGCAACAGTTGCTTGGATTACATTTTACCTAATTGGCTAAAGCTTAAAGAGCCCTTAGTATTACTCATTTGTGAGCTGAATTGCTCAATCCAACTCAGTGCCATCACTAGCAAGGATCTTGTGGATTTCTTCCTTTTTGAAATGGGAAGATCGAATTTACCAAGTTTTAAGGTTTGGTGACTCTGCAACACGTGGAATTGCCACGAGCCGGTCTGGTGTCTTAGGTCAAATTTCTTGGCATGTAGTACACACTCAACATGAACTGCCTCTTGTATTTTGAACATAAAGCTAGTTGGCCATCAGATCCTGAGGCCCTGGCTGTGCTGAAGAGTTCTGATAGCTACCCTAACATACGAGAACTGAACGAGAACGGCCTCACAGAAGGCAGGGCAGATCCGAAAGCTGATTCCTTCCTTCCAGTCCCTTGCCCCAGTCAGAGCCTACTTTCTTTGCGGTTTCTGGGAAGTCTCATTTTCATATTTTGGCAACTGGAAGCCATTTCTGTAGGTCAGGGAGATGAGACCAGGTCGTTGACAAGCCAAGCCATGGTCTAGGAAAGCAGCCAAGCAAAAGGAAAAATGTTAACAATTCTTCCCACTGAGCTTGTGTCCACTGCTTGGAAACCAGATCAGGGGAAGGTGGCTCTTCTTACTGAAAAAATTACCCTTTTCTCTCCTCAGCGCCTTAACAGCATGGTGGCACGCAGTGGTTGAAGTAATCAACCATGAACCAAAAAGTTGGGGGTTTGAAACTGTTAGTGGCTCCGTGGGAGAAAGATGTGGCAGTAGTCTGCTTCCTTAAAGATTTACAGCCTTGGAAACTCTACGGGGTTGCTGAGTCAGAATTGACTCTACAGCAGTGGGTTCGGTTTTTTTAACCTTTCACTTAGGCTGCTACCTCAGAAGAAGAGAGCTGTAGTATTCTTTAATCGCTCCTAACATCTGTTAATGCTTCTCTTAACGAAGGGCATAAGACACTTTGGGCTGCTCAGATTGGTGGCTTTTAACCGTGCAGCTAGGGTAGATTTAAATTCTCCATTCTGGGGGTTACACAGTCTGAAAGCCTGCCACCTTTTTGGGGGCAGGGCACAAGCTGAGTAAGAGAGAAAAGAACACAGAAGGCCAGTGGTCAGGGTCGGAGAAGGTAAAGACCTGCAGCACAAGAACTGTTAAATGTACTGCCTGCCAAATGCACTGCATCCCTAACTTTGTAACCGTGTACTCTGTCCTCAGAATGAGTGAAGGTGAGAGTGTCTATCGTCTATGCAGACACGACTTGATGTTCCTCACGCACCTCCCCGGGGTTCTGGCAGACAGCGGCCAGCTGAGTGTAATCATGTCCTCAACTAGGGGCAGACGCGCGCTGTCAGCAGTAGACAGCAGTGCACCGTCTCATCCACCTTTTTCCTTCTACCTGTACACGCGCTAGATCCACTACCTGTGAGAATCCACAGCGAACCTGACACAGGGTTCAATTTACTCGAAATAAAAATCCCCAAAATAGGAAGAAGGCATTTCGATGGATTTTGAAAATACTGAAAAACATCAACTCTATGTCCTCTGGTACAGTTTTCTCAGCTTGTGGGAAGAACATTAATCCCCATTTCTAAAACACTGAAGGCCAACTCTTTGGAATGGACGCAGTGTAAAAACTTCCCAAAACCCATTACTTCAAGATACTTTATTTTTAAAACAGGTCACAACACTAAGCTTTTGGCCCATTCTGCCACTGGACAAGCTACAAATGCTTGCTCAGCAGCTGGGTGCATTCTTTAGTAGCATGTTTGAAAAATGAATAAAAATGCATATAAAACAAATATTCAAATAGTTTCCATAGGAACACAGATAAGCGCGACCCCATCTCTTAGTCTTCCACATTGTTGCATCTGTGCCAACCCTACTCTCATAAACACATTTCAAAACTAGCAATAATTAAGTTAAATGGTCCCCCCAGATCCCTTAATTCAAGCTAAACTCGCAGTTAACAGCTACAAAAATGGTATCTACACATTAATACTAGCTGAAGCACAAGTTGCTGGATGGCGCTTCATTCCACTTTCCCAAGCACAAGACACAGGAAGAGTGCTGACGTCCTGCTCCTCTACTTCAGATGGGAAGTCGTGGCTCTGGATTTGCTGCATGAGTTGCCTGAGAGACACAGAAGTGGCACATTCAAATGCTTAGTCACCCGTATCTGGGCAGTTCATCCAACAGGAGTAACTTATTCACCAGGGGAGTTTACTTCCTTGGTTGCTAGGTCATAGGAAGCAATTCAGTGTATTCCTGAAGCAAGCATTTCTTCAGCACCATCTTTTTCGAAATCAGGAAACCGTAAGTCACATGTGGTAACTACACTACTCTAATCATGCAGGAATATCTAATCATTTGTTTCTAAAATGGTTATATCATGGGAACAATCTGAAAAGAAATACAAGCATGGTAGTATTTATTGGGAAGACTTTCCTTCTATTTTTCTGTATTTTCCATGGTGTATATATTCTTAATATGGGGGGAAAACTATTTTGAAACAATTTCTCACTCAAATACACAAGCGCAAGGACAAATCAAGAAGGTACTATGTTACTAACCATGCTGGCCCAGACATCACATAGTAGATAGTTGGCCTCTGGAACCCATTGAAAGTAGAAGCAGCGGCAACAGTGTAAGCACCCATGTTTTCAAACAGCATCCAATCACCCACATGCATTTCTGGCAGGTCGCAGCGCTCAACAATCCGATCAAGGCCATCACATGTCGGTCCCCATATGCTAGATGAATAATACTTCTCATCTGGCTTGGGTCTCTGCATTTAAGAGAGAGAGAAAGTGCTACTTGTATCTGTTATGACCAGTCATCTTGTTTTAGACAAAACATTAGTTCAGAAGTTACCTTTTGCAGAAGAGGCTTTACATGTGCATGATCATAAAGGATGCAATTAAATGATCCATATACTCCATCATTCACGTAATACATAAAGGTTTGTTCACTTGATTCATCTTCATCTAGAAAAGCAGATTAATCCTAATTATTACATTTTGACAACCAACGTTCAGTTATATACGCAATGATTCTGCCCTTTATACATACCATCAGAGCCTGTCTGTTCTTTTAATACAATTTTCTTGGCAATGATATTAACAGCAAGGGTGAAAGCTGATGCAACATAGTATCTGCCTGGCTCAGCTATGATTTTCACTCCAGAATCTGACGGAAAATACTTGTCCAATGCTGGATTGATTACACTGGTGATCTATGAGAATGAGATACAGGAGTCGTCATGAAGAGGAAATTCACATGAAAGAGAAAGATTACAGTACTTTGTAACATGACATAATAAAAAACCTTTCAGAAAAATTATCAGCGGGTTTGTCATCAAGAAAAGCAAAATAAAGATGTCCCTAAAAGCCAGCCTGCATATCCTTGTGGTTTCATTTTGACTCCCGTCCAGATACCCTCTCTATCCCTAGTAAAATGTTATGAGTATGTTTTATCAAGAATAGAGTAAGTCAGCTGACGCTGAGTCAATTCTGACTCATGGTGACCCCATGTGTGTCAGAGGGTTTTCAATGGCTTTTTCAAAATTAGATTGCCAGGCCTTTCTTCCAATTATTAAGAAACAGTACAAAATATACAGCACATTTTTAGGGCAGTGAAACTATTTGGTATGATACTGTAATGGTGAACACAACACATTATGCATTTGTGGAAACTCACAGGACTGTACAACACAGACAGTAAACTCTAATGTAAACTATGGATTTCAGTTAGTAACAAAGTATCAGTATTAGTTCATCGATTATAACAAATGTACCACAGGAATCCAAGATATTAACACTAGGGGAAACCGCAGGGGAAGATGAGAACTCTATGTATTCTCTGCACAATTTCTTTGTAAACCTAAAACTGCTCTAAAATAAAGTCTATTTAAAAACAGAAAGGAAAAAAAACACAAACCAAATTTATTACCACCTACTGAAGTATCAAGATACCCAAGTATTTTCAATTCAGCAAATACATGAAACAGGGAAAAATAATTTCTATCCTGCCTACCTCACATAATTTCTTAAGAATAATAATGTGTATTCATTTTAAAAACTCAGGTACCAGATATAATGGTTCATCTTATCTTCCAAGATGACTAGACAGTAGAAATGTTGTTAAGGGGAGGAATTACAAATTGTTGCAAAGCACATCTGGGGTAATGACATACCAAAATCAGTATGTTCTCTAGTTATTTGTACAGCAAGCTAATTATAAACAAAGTATGAGTTAACATTTTCTTTTTTCAACATTTTCTTAATCAGCTGGTATGCAAGATTCTGAAAATTCGATTCTTACGTATGTATAGAGTCCCTTTTGATACTAGTTAAAATACTTAAGCTTTGGTCTGGGGTCTGTCTTAAAGGCCTGTGAGCAGCCATCTAAGATACTCCACTGGTCTCACCCCTTCGGGAGCAAGGGAGAATGAAGAAAACAGGATAAAAGGAAAACATTAGTCCAAAGGACTAATGGACCACAGCTACCATGGCCTCCACCAGACTGAGTCCAGTACAGCTAGATGGTGCCCAGCTACCACCATTGACTGCTCTGACCAGGATCACAATACAGGGTCCTGGACAGAACCGGAAAAGGACGCAGAACGAAATTCTAACTCACAAAAAAAAAGACCAGATTTACTGGCCTAAAGAAGACTGGAGAAACCCGACAGTATGGCCCCTGGACACCCTTTTAGCTCAGTGGTGAAGTCACTCCCAAAGTTCACTGTTCAGCCAGGGATTGGACAGCCTCATAAAACAAAATGGCACTAACGAAGCACAGCAGTCCAGGGACAAGGACTAGTAGGCAGGAGAGGACAAGAAAGCTGGTGATAGGGAACCCAAGGTTGAGAAGGGACAGTGTTGACGTGTTGTGGGGTTGTTAACCATTGTCACAGGGCAATATGCATACTGTTCAATGAGAAACTATTTGTTCTGCAAACCTCCATCTAAGGTACCAAGAAAAAAAAAAAAAAAAAAAGAATTATCTATGTGAGATCAAATTGGCAACAGCAACTCAAAAGGTTTGATGGGAAGCCTAGGGGCAGGGAGTTGAAGATAATGGTGATGGAGTAATTTGGAAAAGGACAGTGAGAATAGCAGCACAACTGGAAGAATGTAATCCTTGTCACTGAATTGTACATGTAGAAACTTTTGAAATGGTCTAACTTTGGCTATGTATATTTTCACCAAAAAAAAAAAAAAAAAAAAAGGTCAAGAAGGGAGAGTGTTGACATGTCGTGGAGTTGTTAACCAATGTCATAAAACAATAT